CCCCCCCCCCCCCCCCCCCCCCCCCCCCCCCCCCCCCCCCCCCCCCCCCCCCCCCCCCCCCCCACCTTTCCACCAGTACCTCAGTGACCGCCTCATGTCCCCCATCCCAGCCAAATGAAACCCAAAAGGAAGTCGATTCGCAAAACGGGCCCAGCCCGGTCGAGGTGGAGCCGAGGCGAACCGAGGGCTAGCCAAGGCGAGGCGGGCTTTAGTAGCTGCCCTTTACAGTGTACATCCTTCCGAAGCCCTTCCCCTATCTCGCGCATCCGCGACAAAACCAGCAACACGGGCCCTGCCTCCTTCCGCCCATCACTCCCTCTCCTCTGGCCACTCAACGTTTTCACCTAACTACCCCCTCTCCCGTACCCTGGAGCCTGCGGCTACCATCCTCGCACAATAGTCTCCCCACCCAACTCCCTCCTGCCGTCCACCCTTCTCGCACCGTACCCCGTTCAGTCTCCTCCTTCCTGTGTCTCCTTTCCTCCTTGCTCCCTTCCCCTGTCCCTCTCATTACCCTTTACTACACGACCTGCGGATGAATTCGCAAATCGGCAGCTGCCGAGGTAGAGCTGAGCTGTAGTAATTGCCGAAAGGGTCAAAGCACGTTCAGTATGAGCCCAAGTGTTAGGCTTCAGCGTAGAAATGATTCCTTCTGTTAGCGATCTGCGAGTTTAGTGGAAAAAATCATGGTCGCACCGGTAAGCCTGGTGCGTTCCAGCGTGGGTTATACGTTTTGCGCTGTGTAGCAGCATCACAAAAAGCATGTCACGGGGTTGTCTATGTTTGTGTGTGTGTGTGTCTGTGTCCGATTGCATTTTGTCCCGCACTTTCAATTCGAGAACTACAAAAAGTAGGCTGAAATTTTAGGGGATTGTCCCCTGCCCACGTGCGACCCAAAAAACTTTTCAGCCTTCTCGTGCCTTCGAATAACACGTATGACCCATGAAAGTTCTGGGGGAGGTTTCAGATTCAGCTTTCACGACCGATACGTGAAATTTTTAGTGAGAAATCCCGCGGCTTAGGAACCAGGCGACATTTCAAATAATTTTACGTAAGCCAAAGTGCAAAGCAATGAAAATCTTTAAAAAGCGATCATTCGCTGGAGGAACTACACAACGCATGATAGTACCGACTGTCCTGATGCGCTTTGCTGTTTATTTTTCCTTCCAGTTCCGCGTTTTTATTTCTACATAAAATTAACACCTATTTTTTTAATTTTTCACATTATCGCTTCTTCTGTATCTCTTAGAATTTTTTTGTGAAATCTCTTGTGTTACTTCATCATTATTTCCACTCTTGCATTCATCATTTTCTAATAAACAAAAGAGACTTATCTCTGCTGCTTTTTGTGCTCTTTCATGAAAATCTTTAAAAAGCGATCATTCGCTGGAGGAACTACACAGCGCATGATAGTACCGACTGTCCTGATGCACTTTGCTGTTTGAAGCGACTATTACGCTTGAAAGATGTGCTAGAAGTTTCTGCATTTGGCGCGTTGCATGTTTTGAACATAAATTCACCACAACTTCAAGTACCAACTCTCTGGGCCGGTATTTGACTAGCTGTAGTTCTGTTTATTTAAATCGATTCTAATTATTGCAGGACGCAAAATTGAAGAGAGAAAAATTGTCTTCAAAAAGCCGGACAAGCGAAAAGAAGGAGGACCGACGGGAAAAACGTCCTCAAAACGGTGCCGCATGGAGCAGCAAAAGAGCGCTGCTGTATCGGATACGAGATTGCTATCTTTCAATGAAGATGAGCCTGAAGAAAGCTAATCGCTCATCGTTTTAGCCGCTTGCACCGTAATGTAGCGGTATTTTAGTTTTCTTCTTTTCTTTCTAAAAATATATTCCATTTCCAATGTACAGACGTCTTGACTTTAACTGTGGCAAATATTCATTGTGTTTTATTGTCTGAGAGAGAATCAAAAATTTTCCGCGTTTCCGCTTTGGTTTAGGTTCGTTTGGTAGCAGTGCTTAGCGTTCGTTGTTGTAGGAAATAGTTCTGGATACTTCATTTACAATAGCAATTCAAGCGGCAAAATGTGGGGTGGAAACACCCTGAATTTCCATTGAAGAAATACAGGACTCAATTTTCTGCGGTAAACTTGATGCCACCCGTATTTTAGGGCTCAAAAAAGCCAGAACTTGAGCATTATCTATAAATGGCAAC